GTTACTGATTTGTCCGATAAACCCCTAATCTTCGTTATGTGTTTATACACTGTAGCAACCCCAACGGAACTCTGCCTCATGAACAAATCAGGGGTCTTGAGAATATCAGCGAGCAACGCAATAGATTCATCGAATCGGCTGCGTCAGTTGGTACTTAGGGTTCCCCTCTTTTTCGATCTACACTCTGCGGAAGTGGTCAGCTTAGGTCCCCTTCTTGTCAAACGTCACCAGTCAGAATCGAGTTAATGCATCCCCGTCTTATACGACGCATGTCACCAATACTTAGCAAACTGAATGGCACCCATTTTTCAGCTTTGTATTGAAATACCTAAATTTCTAAGGATATATGTGCTAAGACCTTATTTGTGAGTACAATTTTTCGAAGGAAATGAACTTGGGATCGAGCGTTCCCGCGGGAGACTCATGCTTCGCAACTACCATGCTAGCCATTGACTTGCTCACATTATCTTAAAGCAACCTTTAGTGGAGAAATAGGAAGATCTCTACTGCCAAAGCTACAGCACGGTCACAGAATCGTCCACAAGTTCACGTCCGAATCCTCGCAATGGGGCTAGAATCTCGGAGCAAAAATGTTCGACTCTGATTGGCCCATGCTAGGCCCAATCAGGGTTCACATTTATCCCGGTCCATCGTTGATTTGATGTCTAACGTAGTGTTGGTCTGTTATTGGACCCGGAGTCCACCGTGGTTGACCTTCATGATATTCTTCATTCTACACCTGACTCTCATGGCCGCACTGTGATCTCTTACCTGTCTCTTGAGTTCTTCTAGGGTGCGTTCGTGGATAGCAGTGAAACGCTCTACTTAACCATGGGAATGTCAATCAAAGGGTGAAGATCTCAGGCACAATGTTTCTGGCTGTCCAAAGAATTCGTCGAAAAAAACTGAAATTAATGATAACTTTTTTGTCGCATGCGTTACGATTTGTCACCGGTGTGACTGTAGCAGTGACGACCCGAAAATCGTCAGAATGTGGTGTTCCCATGAGGATATTACTGTCATCTACAGACGTCATCTTGTTCACGGCATCGGGTCGCTCCAAATCTGAAGTCCAGCAGTTCAATCAAGTTCCAGGAGATCAAGTCTTGCGTATTTGGTGATCATCAGTCACGGAGCAGTCCCTTTTTCTGACCACTTTCAGGTTCTCACCTGGGTCACCGCGAATAGGGTATTCTGCGGGCCCAGCTGCTGGCATTCTAGTCACCTTCCGGCTTCGCTTTATAATTAGATTGAAGTCATTCTTAACAGCAGCCGCGATCTCATCGGTGTAAACTGTGACGAATTTCCGATAACCGGGTAACCTTATCCTGAATTACTTGGTCATGATCCCTGATTATACTCTCTTATCAGGTCTCATCGGTGTAAACTGTGACGAATTTCCGGTGACCTTATCCCTGATTATATTCTCTTATCAGGCCAGTATTTGCGCGAGCTCTGGAAGTCGCTTCCGCGGCAGAAGAGCCGCGCTAAAAAGGCGAGATTCTGATTGGCCCGTATTCTGACCAATCAGAGTTTACCTGACCCGTAGCCGGGTCACTGTGCTTCTGTCCAACCGGCCCACCTGCGGACAATGACGCAATGTAGTGTATAGGACCCGTTTCCTGCAATTGGTCAGCTGGCTAATACATCGCACTTTGTGGACTAAATAAGAGCATAGTATAATGCGGAATATGCAAAAGGAGGGCTGGAGGTCAATAGCTCAACATTTCAAGAGTCAGGTCATTGGAAGGGGAACACTGAGGTAAGAAACCGACAGTAGACCTGTTTCTTTTGCGTACAAAAGGTATGGATTGCTTGAGCTACAGATAGAAGCCGGATCTTCATGGATTTAGACTGACTGTTAGGCATCCGGTGAGTGGTGTGAAATACTCGACCTACCTATTGTGTGTAAAGTGATGTTACTTGAGCTGGATCCGAAGGTCGTGGTAATGGCTGGCAATTTATCTTCCATCGGTACTACGAAGAGATTTTGAATGTTCAGTGGAGATTCCGTCCTATACGTGAGGCCAAGCTATGCCGAAAAGCCGAGAGGCACTGTACAGCCCGTACAGTGAGATGGCTCTGTGGGTAGAACGCGAATTTACTTATCGAAAGGTCCGTGGTTCGAACCTGACCTCTGCCACTCGACTTCTCCTGTCTAGACTGAAAGTATCCCAGGCATCGTAATTCCTTCGGTTGACATGGCAGTTAGGACCGAAAGGGTGCCACAGCTGAACGACGATCTTATAGCCATTTCATGCTTGTTACGAATCACCAACGGTACGCATTTCGCGAAGTTCCGTTTAACCACACTACTGTTTAGCCACTCCTTACCCAACGGTTTAGCCTCCGAATACTGGCCGGCAGGTTACCAGTTCGAATCTCCCTGGGGATCCGTGAGAATCACGCTGCTGGTGATTTCCAATAAGGATGAAACAGCAGTACAGCGCTTCTCGGCTTTTCAGCATAGGTTGACTCTACTCAAAGGACAAGATATCCATGGAAACCTGTCTTTCAACTATGGTGTAATTTTAGGAAGAAGAGCTTAAACACAAGCGAAATTTAGATGCCATCTTCTGGAGTTCAGTTGATCAATACTTTCCCGTTATGTGGAAGGCTCACATAGACTCACCTCTTGTGAATTGTCTGCGTTTTTTCCCACAGATTCTTTCGTTCTTGGTATGAAAGGGGTCGAGTAGCCAATCTGCACAGTACTTCTTTCAGAAGATCTGGTTTTGTTGGAAACAGTGATGTGGACGGATTTCCGTCCTACCTTCCTTCAGACGGCTTTTCAGCATAGGTTGACTCTACTCAAAGGGCAAGATTTCCATGGGAACCTGCCTTTCAACTATGGTGTAATCTCAGGAGGAAAAGCTTAGATACAAGCGAAATTTAGATGCCATCTTCTGGAGTTCAGTTGATCAATACTTTCCCGTTATGTGGAAGGCTCACATAGACTCACCTCTTGTGAATTGTCTGCGTTTTTTCCCACAGATTCTTTCGTTCTTGGTATGAAAGGGGTCGAGTAGCCAATCTGCACAGTACTTCTTTCAGAAGATCTGGTTTTGTTGGAAACAGTGATGTGGACGGATTTCCGGCCTACCTTCCTTGAGACCTTTGATGAAATTTCAGTTTTAATGAGAGAACTCAAATTGAATACTAACCAGTTCAGGTGTGTACTTTACCGCACTGTCCCCTCTTTCCTGTTCATACGGAAATCTCTGATTTTCTGCTCCATAATGAAGTCACTAAGTGGTTGAGCTGAACTGACAAGGTTAAGTTCACTCTTGTCACTCGATACAGTTTGATGTCTTCAGAATAACGTCAGTAGAAAGCAAATTGTCCAATGACTGGTTTGACTTCATTTCTGTCTACTTCACGCATAGATCTATTGGCCAGAGTGGAACTTGGTAAAGGCCTTGTCGCCATGTCGGCTTCCTTTTGGTAAATTTCATCGTTATTGGGTCGGAATTAAAAGTTGCTACTGTGGTTTCTAGAGTTTGGCGGTAAAAATACGAAGCTCTCAGACAGTGACTCATCAAAGTCACGAGTGTAATTCACTGTCCCCTTCAGTGGCTCATTCATAAAAGGCGAGGTAACGCCGTGGAAGACGGTGTTTTGGTTGAGTGAGCGAAAATCCCGAATGGGGATGACAGAGTGACAAGGGTCCTTGAGCTTGTGCAGTGTTAGTCCATGCATAGCGGACGCAAGTATGCCGACAAGCTGAAATAGTTTTGTACTAGCTGGTTCCTTGCATCCGATCCTAGGTTGTCACTTTGTCACAGAGGTCAGACTGCAGTGTTGCAATAACCCTGTGAGCTACATTGACTGTAATTCAATTTCTCAAGGTTCATCCATGTCAGGCAGGACAATAAGACTAGTCAGAAGAGTCCCCGTATCACGAAAAATCTTACTACTATACTAATTACACTGTCCTGCGCGATGGGTGTGTGAGGGCAGTAAGGCGTTTTCGTTGGGCGTCTACCCTGTCCGCATTTGTGGAAGCAGTGTCACCAGGTTAGGAAGGGTTGGTCTTAAAGCGATTCACTACGTCCGGACAACAAATAAAAACTTCGAGAGATACACTCACTTGCAAATCAGTTTGATTTTCACGGGAGACCCAGCTGAATCTCACGTTTATGATGTTCTACAACTGAATGTGCTGCACACAGGCCGCCTCGTGATTCATTTGGCACGATATTCAAGATATCGCAGTGTATTTACTTAAAGGAAACTACTCACAAGGTTGCTGAAAGCTCTTCGACAGCCCACGAATGGTTTCGGCCTTCTCGGGGCTCATCAGGTAGGCGCAGTGCCCGAGTTTCCGTCAACCTTTTGTTTTGCTTGAACCCAAACTGGACCGTTTTCGGGAAATACACCAAATTGATTTGCAACTGAGTGTATCTCTTGAAAAGCAAAATCTTCCGTTCGCGAAAAGTTTCCTAAAACCAAAAGAGTTCTAGACTGTCGATGTGATATTTAATCAGACATCACGGTGGTTTCACCTGGGGTGTGGAACACCGAAGCGTCCTCTAAGGATTCTCCCGAGAGAAGGTTCAACCTTTCTGACAGACTATCCGGAATTTTTTTATTCATTATTCAACCATATGCCAAGTTTGAACTGTTTTCCAGGTTGATCCAGTTGCCAAATAATAAACTGAGCTAAAGTATTTACATTTATGGGTTGGCTTGGTTAGCCTTACAATGGTAAAATTCCGATCAGGCTTTATCTTCTTCTGGCCTATAATCAAATCGAGCCCCAATCAAGCTGATCATTTTACACTGCCTCTCCAATGGTGCTTCGGTTGTCGAGCGAAGGCGAGCCCAAATATTCTGGCACTGTCATCATACAACATTCTCATCACTGCGACTATGGGTTGTGTACCGTGTCTTGAACGGTTTCTGATCACGCGCAAGAACGGTTCAGCATTTTGAGGATAGCAAGTGCCGCACAGTTTTACTCAACCACAGATGAGTTCAGCCGTCTTTGAAGTCAGTTTTTTGGTTCAACTTCTGTTATATCTGCTGATTCGTCAATCTGAGGTATCTACTGCTGACCCGCTCCAGTGCTTAGTTGCCGAAAGAAAGACTCAGAGAAGGGAACACAACGGCTACGTTTCGAACAAGCGAGTGCGAGAGCGTGAGTTCGTGCGAGTGCGAATGTACAACGTCCTCAAGCTATTTATTGGGAGGACACTGTCTGAACTTGGTCCAATGCTGACGAACGCGGTCTGGCTTTGGAACGAGGCTGCGACGCGCTGCATATTGCGGAGGCGTTGTCTGTCTGGTCAACATCTAGCGGAGCTGAGAGTCTCGGTAGATTTCTGGTATTTAGTGTTCACTTCCAGGAATGTTACCCTCCTGATAACTTTAAATTTCAAACATCTGTACCTACCGGTTACAGAACTGTTGCGTCTATCTGTTGTCAGTAAACACGGCGACGATAATCGATTAAGCGCGTGTAAATTCCTTGTAAAGATCTTGACAATCTCCTCGATGTTATGTCCTCATAGGATCGAAATATTCTCCTAGGGTGGAAGGAACCATGACTCCGCAGTTCAGCGCATCCACTCTTTGTGAGTCACTTGTCTGTGTCAGATATTCTGGGGACGGACAGCGGGCAGAGTGACAGAACCGTTGCTTAGAATAAAAATACGTGATAAATCGAAACTGAGAGAGCTTTGAGGTTTGTTCTGGATTTGAATTCCCCGAATTGAATTGTGAGTTGCACGAACTGCGTTTCGGTTTAAGTAGAACTCTAGTCAAAATTTTATTGTGGTTCCTTGCCACAGCCCGAAGTGTAATGCGCACTGAAACCGAACGGCTAGCTGGTAAGTATCTGTAGTGTTTGAATAAACTACAATCGGCCCTTCGGTCCAACCCCTGCCAAACCCGGTTGAAGCCCTTCCCTCACCATCTAGAATGAAATAATGGGACAAACTGCACTAACCGCTCGTTATTTTTTGTGTTCAGGGAGATTCGGCTTTAACCAATGTATGATGAATGAAAACGGCTGTTGTTCAGACCGTTGCTGAATTTTTTAAAGTGTATTATATTAACATTGGTTGTAAATTCTAGGTGGATTTTAATCTAGATTTCAATAATGACGGAAAATAGCGCATGAAACTCCGCAAATTCCAAAAAGTGTGCACCCTTACGAAGTATTTTTTCAGGCTTCACTGCTTCCTTTCTAGCAGGTCAAATTCGTGCACGCGGCCTTAGCATTCGTACGAATAGTTATTCGCATTCTAATTCTCTGTTAACTGGATTTGTTTTTGGTATAGTCTTCGTCACATGACGTTCTGCTTTCGATGATACCTTCTTTCAGGGCATAATCACATCCATAATGTCTATTGATGTATGGTCTTCAACGAACATCTTCCGGATGACCTCGTTTGTTCTTGTGTGTTTTGAACCCTGTGTGCTAAAATGGGATGTGCATATTCAATCTACTCTTTTTAAAACGTAAAAAAATTCACAAAACGATGTTGTCTCAAAATTACTTGCGTACAGTGCAGTCGGTCTCATGAGCCGTTCAACACCACACAGGCTTGGAGCATCCGATCGACAAACCAAATTGCATTCATCCAAAACGGACATAGTACATTTGGTTTAAACGGTCATCACTCCGGAGTGGATTACGAATTTAGTAACCAATGATGCCCTTCCAGGATGACACTTTCTCCAAGTTACAACGCGGAATCGCATTGCTTGAAATGAAGGCATTTTAACCATTATCTCAGTTTTAATGATTCATTCGCGTCATAGCCGTTTTTTGTCGGTCGCGAAATCCGTTCGTTCAGCGAAACCGGCAGTTCCAGCGTGCCACTGATCATGTTATCGCTGTCATGACCAGAACCATCCACAAGCTGCGACGTCAGTGCGCTCCTGGTGAAGCCATGTTGTGTCGCTATGCCCTTTCTGCCGCACAGACGAACGGAAACAACTCGACAAACTGCGACGTCAGTGCGCTCCTGGTAAAGCCGTGTTGCATCGCAATGCCCATTCTGTCACACAGACGAACGAAAACAACTCAGTGTGAAACAGAATGTGATACGACTGAGAGACAGAAGAAGATGCAACATGCAACATAATCATACTTGACTCTTACTCTTACTTGATGTGGAGGAAGTTTGATAATCCGAGACCCAATATCGTGAAGAGAGATTTCAACAAATAAGACTGTCATAAGACTGCAATAGCGGTTTTTGACACCGAAAATCTCAAACTAATATGAGGGAAAAATATACATGGGGCCTTTAGGGTTAACAGTTGTTTTGGGATTATCAACATTTGACCGAGTTGCTTCAGACTCAGAACTTGTCCAAAGGCTTGTTCCTATCATATAGTGAGTGGAACTAGATTTTCGCTCCATCCAGCAGACAGAAACCATTGTTCTGGTCTATTGGTATCGTATGGGCAACGGTCAAATTCATAAAACGTTTTTTTACGGTGCTCCTGATATCTAGGCAACGGTCAAATTCATAAAACGTTTTTTACGGTGCTCTGGTAACTAAAATACATGTACAGACATAATATACTACTCATAAGTTTGCTGAAAACTCTTCGGCAACTTACGACCAGCTTCGCCTTTCTTGGGGTTCGTCAAGCAGGCGCAGTCCCCGACTTCCCATCAATCTTATGTTCTGTTTTGACCCAGATTGCACGAGATTTTACTCCTATATTCATCTGCACACCGGAGAATCATCTGGAAGCCAGCCGAATCTCTTGTTTCTGGTGTTTTTTCTCAAAAGAATGCGCTGCATCAGGCTGCCTCACGCTTCAGTTGGTATGGACGTAATGCACTACTTAGTTGAAAAGAACACTATGGACGAGAGATTCAGCTGAGTTCCAGGTGAGCCTCTCGTCAAAACCAAAATCGGAATGCAGATGAGTGTATCAGTGGAATTTGTCACTTATTTGGATGGTTGTGCTTAATCCATAAACCATGCAACGCTCGCCCAACGTCCAACTCGGCCATCACTTAGTCTACTCAGCTCGTTCAAATGAGGCTTTCTGTCACAACCACCCTGAAAGAGGACAATTGCTACTCATGTGGTTTTACTCAGCGCAGTAGCCAGTGGGGCAGTGGACAGCTTACTAAAACTCGTCGTACGTTCGGGGGTATCGAGCGTGATACATGCCTGCATTATACCCCGCAAGATGGTACCGTAACTTTTACTCTCTTCAGGGCTGAGATACATAAGTGCGTCAGCAACAAAGTGGAGCGAACGGACAGGCAAATTTTTGAACAACACCACGTGATTAAAATTGCGGAAGCCTGATGTTTTGCTTCAGAACATACATAAGTGCGTCAGCAACAAAGTGGAGTGAACGGGCAGACAAAATTTTGAACGTCACGTGATGAAAATTGCGAAAGCCTGATGTTTTGCTTCAGAATGATCAATCTATGAGTGACTCAGAGGAAAGGGAAATTTCACAGGATGACTGGAACTTCCAACTGAGAAGTCCCCACTCGAGAAGCCAGTGAATACCTAACCACGCGATTTGGTTTACGCGGGCTATATCCTGTCTAAGTGAGAACTAATCACGCTGCTGTCCAGCCGCTCGAAGTCACTGTCCAACCACTGGCCGGTAGTTCGGGGGCTCGAAATTCTGAGTTTCGTGAGCATCGGTTTGAATTTACACTGCTGACAGGACGGTTCGTGTACACGGTTCTGGCTGGTGAATTCCAGTGGGCAAGGCCTCACAGATTGACAGCAGTTTTGGGTCACGGTTATGTAGTAACGCGTGAAACAAATCTTTCGGCTAGCTAAATGCACTCATTTGCTGGGTTCCGGGTGAGTCTCTCGCAAAACCAAATTTGTTTACAAATGAGTGTATTTCGCAGATTTCGTGCAATTTGGTTTCAAGTAGTACATAGGGTTTACGGAAACTCGGGGCTGCACCTACGTCAACAGGGCGAAACCGGTCGTAGGCTGTCGAGGAGTTTTCAGCGACCTTATGAGTAGTGCATTACAAATAATCTTTCGGCTGTTTGGTGACCGAAATTATTGAGTCACAATACGTTCCGACCTTTTACAGTCAAAGGTGGCACACTTCTAAAGACGTACGGCAGTGTGTGTTCAGCAACGCACTCCAACAAACGTTGAAGTGGATTTCTGCGCAACTACAACAGAACTCATGGATTGCGTGCGCGGCACACAAGTCTGACGAATTAAGTTTGCGATTGGTTCTCGAATAACCTCTCTGGCGGTTTGAATTTTAGACTCGTTCTAGGGTCAAGTAAAGTTTGTGCCGCTTCATGAACTACCTTCTTCTGAGGTTTACTGGCATTGTGAATTTCGACAAAACGTGAATCGACGCCGATTAACAAGATCTTCAAGAACTGTTTGTCCTCCCAATATATCTGGGCTGCAGCCTTTTTCCTGCTCTACAGAATAAGGGCTTGCCTAAACTATGTTTGTAAGAAACAGGTAGAGAGCTGCAGAAATGTGAATATCCATCAACTCACAATGAATTGCCAAAAACTAGACGTTGTAATGAATCACCGATGTGCCTATTTCAAGTACAGGAAATGTAAACTTGATCTGGTTTCGCATCAGGATGGCACAGGCGAATTGAGTTGAGGATACCAAGCAAATGCAATGGTTAGAACATCATTAGACTTCCATCACAAGGCTTCCGAGACATTGTTCGCAATCTTGATCATTCCTAAAAATACGTCAATATTTATCTGAGCTGCTCATTGCAACACCATCGATCTGTCGGTGGGGTGTTTTCCTTCGAACTCAAACCCCAAATTTTCTGTACATGATAAAATGGTATGCGCACAACTCAATAGGGAGACTTCTACTAAGATTCTCACCCACACTCTTGTCACATAAAAAAGTCAGCGATCTCTCGTATGGGGATTGATGAACATCGTTTCAGAACTTTTTTGGAGTATCGTCCAGGGCATCACAGAGATCACGGATCCCCTTAGACAGGGCAGAACAAGAATAAAGCTCAATAGGCTCGCAAGCAAACGCGCAACCTTGCGGTATGCAGAGCTATTCATACACAGAAAGGCCAGAGTGTAATACCTTCTTAGGGTGTCTTTGATGCTCCTCATTTTAGACCCTGTCATTGCAGTGATTAAAACAGGTATTGCTGGTAGATGTCTATCAAATTTCCCGAAATCAACTTGCTTCATCAGGCTCGTCTTACGACAATGCGACTGGTCCAGCTGTCTGAAAAGTTGGACAATAAGTTGAACCCGTCAAATAAAGGCGTTAGAATTGTATTCACGTGCCGGTGGCTGAGTTTGAAGAAGGTTCTAGAGTTGTCCTCACTTGGTTCAGCCGGAAAGTTGAATTTATTGCACGCAAGCGTTCACTTGAGGCCACCAATCGGATACCGAAAGAGGGAACACAATTCATTGGGAAAGGGAGACAACAGTTGGAGATGCTATCACGTGCTGTCAGGTGATCTAGTAACACCAAATTGCTCATGCTTTCCCGGGAGTTCACTATAAAGATGTTCCTTCTGTCTCTATTGCGTTGGGGGTCTATATCCGATCATCAAATTTGACTGAATTCGTAGTCACAGCGTAATTCGACCAACTTCCACAAAGATGCACTGAGACTCAGTCAGATTCCTATCGGTCATCAAAGAAAGTCACGATTGACCATTTTAGGCAACGCAAGTCCATTAGTCGCCAATCGTACTGGAAAAAGAGCTACCAGTGGACTAAGTCTGTCGCCCATCGGTGTGTGAGAACGGTGCAACCAGTGTGTGATTCGCAGTGATCCGGAAGCAATCATCGTGAACCCGTTCCACTGATGCCTCGAAAGTTAGCCTTTATACTAGTGCGTTTCAAAAACTCGGATAAAATGAGTTTACGTTACCACAGTACTCCAGAATCACCAGTTTTTTTTCGAAACTTGAGCATAAATTTTACAATGATCCCAGTTCTAGGTGGACTTTAAAATCTTACTTTTCCCTTCTGTGTTGTCGCTTCTTTTCGCTCATTTTGCTGTGTCCGACATTCACTGACTCATTCTGGTTGTTCCCTCTAAACGATTAGTGTTTGCATCACTTGACAAAGAAAATGTACTGCTTCAAAAGCCATATCCTGCGAACTACACTGTATCCTTCTAACCACAACTATAGACCGTTAGCTAAAGTGGTTCACATGGCGCATCGTTTAGCAAAAAATCGTACTGTTTTTAGGAGAGTTTGGAAGACATTCAGTCGATTCTCAAACTGTTTCAAACCGGTTGATCAAAATTCGAAGACTCAATCGCAATTCCGATCATCCAAAGCTTGAGAAATGAAATACTAAGCATGGAATGTTTGTTTTTCCGTTTCCTTTCACGTAACACGTTCATTTTTTTATTTATTCTGATCCATCGATTCGTCTGGTTTGTTGCAGAGTCCTTTTTGGACGTATTTGTACAAACTGTTGTAGTCCTTTGCACAAGACCTTGTCCCGCCAAGCCACTTTTCGGTGAGGTCGCACCAGTTACCTACCCAAAGTCAGAAGTTTTGCTCATTAAAAACATTCAACAAACAAAAATTAAAGAACCTGAAAAAGTGAACAGTACATCCTCCCCCCCCCCCCAATAAGGCGCAGTCTACACTTCCAGAAATTATGCGTAGGATTAGAAGTAGAGACACTCCGCTTGACCGGATAGCTGACACTAAACGTGATTCTACGGAAACGAAAAGTCCTGCCGCTTGCAAAAGGTGAGATTGCGAAAACAGTTGTACCAAAGAGAGTAAGTATATAGAGAAACTTAAAGATGAAATTTTACAAGTGGAAGCTCGATTCCTATGGCAGGAACACTGCAATTTCTGGCATATTGTGGGAGTAGATGGTGGGGTTTAAACGTGACTCATGCGGCACCGACAATAAATTGGTGAAAAAAGACTGTCATCCGTTAAGCTGGATTTCTGTACACTATGGATGAAACCAGTTTAGTCAATAGGTCTTGCGTTGAAAGGCGGGAAAGTTCTCAACTACAGTCTACACTCGATGGAGAAGCCAGGCGATTAGGAGAAA